GCATCTCACTGGAATCTTTGGAATATGAGCACCAAAAAAGACAGGTTGTTTCTCACCACCGAGAACCGCTCCGCCCTTTTCCGCTCCTCCTCGGTGTTCCCCAAAACACCACCGCTCCGGCGGGATACCCAGGCCGAGAGGCTGGCAATTGCGTTTCAAAGCGCAGGTGAGACGGTCCGGCGGGATACCGGAGACCCGCGGAGACCGGGAGAAGAGATGGGAGAGGAGATATCACGAGATAAGGAGGGTTTGGTTCTTGTGTTTAGCGCTAGCTGTATGAGTCATTCTGAATGGAAGAGGTGGAATGATCCGATGTCTGGATGTCAACAAAAACAGATGGTGAAAGAGTTTGGGTGAAAGAAAAAACGAACACAGTTCGACTCAGCCATCCAGCACAGGTTCGACTCAGGATTCAGCAGTTGTTGCATATGTTTCACCTTTTCATACCTTTTCAATCCTTTTCAATCCTTTTCAACTGATACCTGAAAAAGATTGGTCTCAAGATGTCTCAAGGAGGTGATACCTCACGACTGGGATCAATTCCTCTTTAAGTAGTTTTCTTTTTCCACATACTCGATCACTTCACATGATGGTTTTACTTTGCATTTGGAGGCTTATCCGGATCCAGTCAGTGGAAGACATGAAGCTCTCACCGGGTTTTCCCGATTCCACCCGTCGCAGTCGGACCAGTGAATCGCTGTCCTCATCGGTCCTCCCTTCCGTCGAGCTTCGGAAGAATCGAACTCCGTCAAGTCGGGGGTTTTTGGAGCTTTAGCTGAGCCGGGTGCTTTAAGCTTTTCGGGCTTCACAGGACATCTGTTTCGCGAGCAAGCCACCGGTTGAGATTTCAGCAAGCTCCACCAAGTTCGGGTGGCGCTGGGATTCGGGCAAGAACGGATGTCCCTTGCAGTTCTATGTGCCTCTTTCAATGGAGGTGTGGAAAGTATGTTTGGGTAAACCTGAGCATGAGGCAACATAGAATGTTCTAGCAGCAAGGAATCTAGTTTATACAAATGTATATATACATATATAGAGAGAGAGAGGATGTTGCAATATCCCGAGAGATCTTTTGGGTCCACTCGCTTGGTGCACTTGCAGGAAAGGGAAAGGGAAAGCGAAGGCGGAGCTGTGAGACACTGGAGTGAAGTAGATTAGGGTGTGTATCAGAATAGGAAGACCTCCCAAAGACCCAAAAGACCGCCTGGAAGAATTCAAGTAAACCAAAAGCCCATTGGATCGGGCATGCCTTACCCATTGGCTGGGGGTCTTCCAAAAAGAAGATACACATGCCATTTCTGGCTCTTCAGTCGAGGAGCAGGCACTGCTCCTCGGCATTCCGAGTTGGCGGGTCCGGCTTCCCCAGCAGGAGGGCCGCTCCAGCTGCTCCTGCGAGACATTCCGCTGGATCAAGCAGGGTCCATTTCTCCAGGCTATTGGCCCTCCCTCCAGTGCCCTATGAGTCAAGTGCCGTTTGAAATGACCTGTGGCCGTTTGAAATGAGGCCAGATGCTGCAGAGGTCCTTCCGTTGACTGTCGAACGTCAGCACCTTTGATGGTCGAACGTGTGTACAAACTCAACCAACCAGGATTAGATGCGGAGAAAAGAGAGAGAGAGAGAGGTTTCATTTCAGGTACCCAACTTATACATATAATTATACCAATTATACCAATGATGAGTGAGCTCATGGACTGCGTATCAACTCTGGAAAAGCTCATGAGCATCTCATTGGTCCCGGTTGCGCAATTCTATCATGAGTTGCAGGGTGGCTGAGGGCTGCGCTGCCAGCTGTCGGACCTGAAGTTTGGGTGGGACAAACTTGGCGCATTTCAACCGATGTGATGTTGGACAAAACTCTGAGCAAACCTCCAGACCTGGACGACCCGCTCCACCAACTCCGACCTCCCAGATCCTCCCAGATCCTCCCGTCGTCCACGTCGATGCGACCCACCGAGCCCAGAGGCGCTGTCCGCCGCTTTTGGCTCCAACGCCCCCCGGGTCGGTCAGCGGTTCGCCGCGGACAGTCCCGCGCCCGGGTGCCCGGAAGAGTGCCCAAAGGTGCCATCACGAGCTCGTGGACCTTTCAAGAGGCTCATATGAACTGTTGATCAATATAACATCACATCATCCCCTCCATTTAGAGATAATGTTTTAATCATTGTGAAAGCCATTTTGCTAGGTTTTTGGGTTTGAATCAACAGTGTGACATTAGAGGAGGACTTGGGACTGTAGATGGGCGCAGTGGAAATGTCCAATTCCACTTCGAGGCTGAACAACCATTGAAGAGATAATATGAGGCTGCCCAACAGCATGAGGGAAGGCCAATTGATACGTAGAACTAGAACTGTTTTGATTTGTGATCTGTGGATTCCGTGGATTATGAGCAAAGGACAATTATCGCAACAGCAACATAAACAACGACAACAACGACACGACAACGACAAAGTACAAACAGATACAGCAACAACATCAACATGTTCTTTAACTGTTTCAAAGATACAGGTTGCCATACACGTATCCAGTCAGAATGTTCATGGATGACTTGGATGGCCCAGAAGAAGAGGTGATCAGAAAGATGGAATGTCTATTAGATGCCGCCACTCAAGCAACACTCACATCCTCACATGTTGAAGTTGTCTTCCAGATTCACGTTCAGCAGGAGCTACTGTTCTATTCCAGCAGCGACTTCCGACTAGCTCAAGCCGGTATGGCTGACATACTGCGGTCTTGTTCTCTCGCCCAGGAAGGAAAGAAGTCCAGTCCCAAGCATGCCCGGGACCAATGAGGCACCATCGATCCTGGCACCATCGATCCAATGAGGTTTTCTTCGATGTTTTCTCGTCCCGACCGCACATGGTGGGTTCATTCGGTTCGTTCCAGGAGGAATTCCTGGCACTCAACCTAAAACGATGGAGGATCAGATTCGTTAAGGGCCTCATGAAATCCAACCCTGCTGTATGTGGCGGAAGTGTCTTTTTGGGAGGGTTCACTGGGCAGTCTGGAACCAGTCCAAGAGGAGTTTCAGTTTAGGGTGTCAGCGGCCAAAGGTACTAATTATGACTATAGATTTTGACAACAGGGGATAACTCACATACAACGAATTTACTACTTACATCTAGATAGTTACATTCTGTTAGCATTTATAAGCTAGCTACTGTTGCTGTTTAGCCCTGACTCTTCATAGTCACGTGTCTGACTATTAACAGTTATAAGCTAGCATCGACCCGGTGACCGGGCGTCTGGTCACGCGTGGTCCCCGGGCGTCCGGAACGAGCGGAAGTGTTCGGTGAATTGTGAGGTTCCGAAGTGTTCCATGCAGAATTGGTGATGAGAATGCTTGGTTCTCCACCTGAGACGTCACAGAATTGGATGCTGGCTCGTTTTCGGACACGTCGCAGACGTCTGCGACGTCGCAGACGGATGAGACGTGCCAGAAGTCGCAGATGGAACCAACTGCACTGGGAGAAACCAATGCAACCAGCCCCTGGACCTGATCGTCTTTTGGATCCTGCTAGTCAGTTTGCAGAGAGGCGTGTGGGTACTGGTACAGCGGCTCTGTCCAAACCAGCTCCTTTGAAACCGCCAGGAGCAGCCGAATTCGGCTGCAGCTCCGGCGGAGGTGATGGGCCAAGCAGAGAAATGCCGAAACACATTTGCGCGTGAGCTGAAGAATTTCTGATGGATATATATATATATAGTTTTTTTCAGGATAAAAGCATCTAAATCTAGAAGAATGTGAACACTTTGTCCGGACGGACACAGTCCAAGATCAGTGTTTCCATTTGCTGTTGACACCTTGGTCCCCCCAAAGGACCTGTTAGCCTCCTAAACTACCATTGATCTCGCAAGGTTCTGGTTTGGGTTTGCGGAGTGTTCCATTATTTCGGGAGTAGAAACGCTTAAACGTGTTCTTTTGGTAAAAAGGCGCTCCCAAGCTTAGGCGCTCTCTCAAGCTTAGGCGCCCGCTGGAGCTGCAGCTGAGCCTAGCCCTCCAGAGGACGGCAAACAAACAAAACCTGCACAATAGAGCTCAACCAACAAATTAATCCATGGATCTTCTTATAACTTATAACTAAACCAACAATCGTGGGGCATTGCGACCATTTTGATGTTGCCTGATAATAAGGAATTATGTAGTTAGCATGTACAATATGGTTTCTCTCTGAGTCGCAGATTCGATAAAGTGTGTGTTCCAACCCAGGTGAACCAGTGTTTCGTTGCATATGTGCCCGTGTGACAGCGGACACATGTTTCAGTGAGTGCCAGGCCCTTTTTGTCTAGCCCAGCTCACCAGCTTAGGGCCATACGACTCTGACGAAAGTCTGATACACTCTGTTTGGAACATGGAGCGAGAAGAACATGTGAGGTGGTCATACCATTGGGTGGGTGGGCCCTTTCCCATGTGTTTCTTTTAGCCAGTCGGAGATTCGTGCCAAGCAGTTTTTGTTCGATGGGATAATTAATGGTTAGATAAGATATCATTTGGGTTTGTCCGTTCTCAACAAGTAAACAGTCTTATCGCTACTTTTGGGCAAGGCCTCTACTAACCATGATCATCTACTGGGCTCAGGTATTAGGATTGATACCCACGCAATACTTTCTCCAATTTTTCAAGAATTCGATTGCCTAGCAACAGTGGTCGCTTTGGAGGGGATCTTTGGAGATCTCTTCCAGCTTAGAGCTTTTGTTTTGTGTTGGCACAGTGTTTGAAACAGGGCTGTTGGTCCGTGCGAAGATGCACTTTCGATTATCGTCCAGGACCGGTCAAGACAGTGCCGAAAGGTAAGCGCAACGCGTTCATGTGCCTGCTGCTTGTGTCAAAAGACTTGGAGCAAGGGAGAGCTGTGCAGAACTGTGTGCACAGAGCGCATCGTGTGAGCCGATATTTTTTTGAAGCGAATCGACCGAGGCCGAGGTCAGAGGTTTACACGACACGCCAGGACATGAGACAAGACACAGTTGGCTTAAGCTTTTTCTGCCTCGACTCGACTCAAGTCGAGACATGTCGCTTCTAGGGTCCTTGGCAAAGGATTCCTCAGAGACAGGTGAGGATGTGAAGATGGATTCGGATCGTGAGTCCAATGTAGGCGATGGCGATGGCGATTCGCAATCAGGAAACTCCGAGGATGTTGACCTTTCTTTCCCAGACAACGTGTGCCATATGTGTGAGCAACAGTTTGGGGCTGAAGACGAGGACTGAGACTGACGAGTTTGTACTGGGTAATACGACTGAGGTTCTGTGATATTATATTTCATGTACGTACACCCGGCCTACAACAGAGCCTACGTTTTGACTTCATGAGGTCAACAGTAAACAGCAGTTAGTGAGCGATTAAAACTTGTACTGCTGCACTGTGGATACTGATCACTGTTACTAATTACTAATAACTGTATCGATTTTGCAAGACAAACACACTCGACAATGTACATCAGCAAGTGAAAATTGTTGGGGTCACACACTAGAACAGTCCCTGTAACTAAAACAGCTCAGACGAGACTTTGTTACTTGTTTGTTCCCCTCTCTGTACGCAGGACGCACCAGAGGGTCACTCCTGCACAGTGCAAGCTTCAAAAGGGGATTCTGATGGCACATGTCAATGCCTCAAATGCGTATACATTAAACGAGGCTCTTTCAAAGGGATCAAGTTGCGCGCTTTCATTGTGATGATGAAGCGTTCTCCTCCACTCCGCAGAAAGTTTCCAGGCATACAGATACATGTGGCATGCAGCAGCACACATTTATGATTCTGACATGTTTTGGCTATATTTAACAATTTATAAGTCGACCAGTATTTGCTGTATGCTGCTGCGTGCTTCACAGTTCGCAGAATATTTGGAAGTTTAGATCCAGGTTGTTTGTTAGCTTTTGTTTCTGATTGGACTAGACTCGACTCAGCCTAAAGGTGGCAACAGCCTCCGAAGATGACTGCCTGATCCCAGGTTCCGTGCCCTTCGCAAACGACACGTTCAAGTCCTATGCAAGAATCCCAAAGCTCGTCCCAGACACGAGCAAGTGGATGTCAAATTGTTTGTGAAGAAAACCAGCTCCAAGTACGTGGACTTCCGGCAGGAGAGAAAGACAACATGCAATTCAACTTTGCCTGGCATTAGACTTCACAATAGCCTCATTGTACCTTCACTTCTAACTTCTAACCACAGACGTTGCTAGAAGACAATGCTTGCTGCTGGCTTCTTATTTTGTCTTTTGATTCAATGGTCACAAACACCTGACTCATTGTTTGGCTTTTGTGGGGTGGCTGCAGGAGGGAGACTGGTATCCGCTGAAGGAGTTCTTTGACATGAAGGCAGATGCAGAGACCAAGAAGAAGCTGCGCAGCATTGTCCAGAAGCGAACATGGCTCGAGAAGAGAGGATTTAAGATTCAAAAGGACAGAATGAACCTTTTTGTCATTTGTAACAGTTTGTTCTTGGACAGGACCCTTGTCCAGCCAGCCGCTTTGTTTTGTTCAAGTCCTTTCCATGAGAGGTCCAGTTCATTTCTCTTGAATTGTTCCTTCTAGACTGGTTGAACCCGGGACTGTCTTTTTTGCAAAAACACCAGAACTAGGACTAGAACTCAAGCAAAACACCATAGATTATAGATAAATAAATAGTAACGATACGACCAGCACAGTTTTTACAGCTTGGCTTTGCAGGATGAAACCGGCGTTGATGGAGTGGTGGTGATGCCAGATGGTGGCCGGAAGAAGATCTTGGTTGGCACTCGCATGGCAGCCACCAAGGAGAAACGTGTTGAGCATGAGGGCCAGACAGGTCAAGACGAAGCCTTTGACAAGTCCAAGAGTGGGTTGAAGGTTGAGAGTCAGACTCAGGACCAGGGGGCGCGAAAGAAATAGACTCTAGACTCTAAGACTCCAAACTACTCTAAACTCATACAGAAAACACAGACGATAAACAGTGAACAGTTTTGTTTTTACTATCTGTTGGAGTTTGGTTACTGTACCTCTTTCCAGTCCATCGACATTAAAAACAAATCGTATCAGTACCGGAAACAAGTCCTTCATTCTATTCCTAGTTATATTCAAGAAGTACGAAGATTGGAATTCAGTAAAAAAGGAGTCTGGAGTCTGCAGTCGTCTGCTCATGATTGTTCATCATGGGTAGAGTAGGGTTGAGTACACATTTTTGTGAATCAATGAATGAATGAAAGAATGAATGAAAACGAATGTGACTGTTCATGCCGCAATGCTATGCCAGTTTCCCTTCAGGAAGAAGTTGCTCAGAACTTGAAGGACGTGAGTGACAACGATGAGGAGATGGTGGACCCGGAGAGGGATCAAGAGTCTGATTCGGAAGAGTCTGGGTTTGGATTGGAGCTCAAGAAGACAAAGAAGCGGGCTGCCCCGAAGAAGGCGGCGGCGCCTGCTACTATGCCTCCACCCATGCCCACTCCTCCTTCACAGGCCACTTCTGCAGGACTTGCTGACGCCTTGTCTGAGGCAACATCTCAAGCACAATCTGCTGCTACTGAGTCCATGAGATCGTCAAGATCCGCACCAAGCAACAGGGTCAGCGGAAAAGGTGGCAATGGCAAAGTCAATGAGAAGACTCTGCAGCAAACCAACGCTCTTTTGGTCAGCTTGCAGCAAATCGCGAGCCCTCTTCATTTGTGGCAGCAGCCAGCTCGCTGCAAAGATGCTGATGGGAAGGTGAGGAAAGCTCTGGACCGGTGTGGTTTGCTAGAGACAGCTGACACAGACGAGGCTACCAAGCTGCAGAATGAGCTCTCCAGAGTGGCCACTTGTGTCAGTGAATGGATCGAACTAATTGCTCAGTTCAAGAACGAAGACAGCAAGGAGTCCAAGCAGCCTATGTCATCAACTTTATCCACTCACGCTTCCCAGTTGTGCACTTGCCTTGAGGGCCAGTCAGCTGATTGCGTGAAAGCAATCCTCTTGGACCTTGGAAAAATGCTGATTGAGGCCTGGCGGCCTGTCAATTGTTTTTTACATTGCAGTGTGTTGATGTTACTGTTGCACAACATTGTTTCAATTGGATCTGGATGAGTGAATTGGATCTGGATGAGTGAGAATGAGAATGATTTTAACTTTCATTGAACTCAGACTTGGGACTTGGGCTGTCATTTTACAAGGTCAAGAATCCAAACAACCTTTCCAAAACGTGTTGTGCTTTTGCATTGGTTTTGACTCCGTTCAGACTCTGCCAATCTGACCACCATTCTTCTAGTACAGGCACAGTACATTTTTACATTGGCAGCGAGAGATAGGATCACACAGACTGACTGGGTTCAACTTACTGGTTAGTTAACTCACATTAATCTTTCCAGTGGCTCCAGTGTCTGTACACGGGGATCTTTGTTGTAGGCGTGCCTCTCCAATGAGACGCCCGGTTCTGATGAGCGTGCGGCATTCTTCCATTTCATTTCCATGGAGCCCATTACGGAAGATGAGCTGCCAGCCTCACCTGGCATGTTCAATTTGGGGCTGGTTCTCAAGAAGAAAATCTGCGACGGGGGCATTTTGCTGCAAATTCAAGCCTCTCTCTTCAACTCGTGGATTGACAAGTTGAGGACAGTTCCCAGTGACGTGACCTCCTTGATCTTGTCTAGCTTGCCGACGAAGTACAACATTGCCGAGGTTCTCAGGCGGGGCAGAATGTTGTTTCTTTACAACTGCACATATTAGCACACTTTCAGCTGCGGCAATTGTCGTGTTATACTATACCGTGACTGCCCTGCAAATCTGCAAATGTAAACAAAAGTCTAGCTCACGTGGACCAATGACCATGGACCATGACTATGGCTTCCTGCTCCCTCAGGATTCCCAAGCCGGATTCTGAAGAGAAGCTGGCAGCTTTGACAATTGATGACACCGCCCTTTCAACGAATTCCACCGGAATGTCGATCAGAGTTTTGACAGACCTTCAGAAGTTGTATGCGTGTCACATGATGTCAGACGAGGAGAAACCTTTGCACTCCTTCGGCCCAAGTGAGAAGAACCTCATGAAAAGGAGAGTTGCTGTGGATCATTATTCAGCCAGGCTGAATTTGCTGTTCAGGAGCAACAATGCACTGAGGACAGGGGTTGAGGATACTTCCTTTGCGGCTAGGCTAGGCTAGTTAGCTTCAAGGAAGCAAGTCCAAAAGCAACCAACGTACGTACACCTTACAACGGATACAGTACCGCTACCACTACTGGCCCACTACTGTTATTACTAGCAGCAGTAGTACTAGTACTAGTACTAAATACGACGACTACTACTACTACTGCTAGTACTACATATTCAGATTCATGATTAATGATTCGATTCATAATTTATTCATAGTAATATTTTTTTTGCTGACTAACCGCGTTTTAGTGATGGAAGTGGTACTGCAGCAATCTAATTGAGCTTTTAGGTTTTGAGTTTTCTTACGTTTGGTTTTTGTCACTTGAGTTGAGTTGCGCATTCTACAGATCTTAATTCTTCCTTGTTTCTTAGTAGCCCAGGGGCCCAACTTGACGAATCGTGAGTCTGAGTCAGTACTACAGTACTTGGTTTGCAGGAAAATGTGGGCAGAAGGCATCAATCTTTCCAAGACTTCCATCTCCAACGAGCAGGCCAACGCTATGTGCAAGGATCTTTTGGTGAAGGGGGGCCAGTCTTCGGGATGTATTGAAGTCAGAGAGTGACCCGATTCTCACTCCAGAGCTTCGAGAATTGATCTCAGGCTGCCGAAACTTTGTCGACGTGGCTGCCAACTTGGATGACTCGATGCATGATGCAAAGAAAGACATGAACAGTCTGCTGGACGAGATCAAGACGCTTTGCGACGACAAGACCGGATCAGTGATCTCAACCAACATTGTTGAGTGGCTGAGCAAGCAGTGGAATTTGGACAGTGACATCCCTGCTGAGGAGGTCGACCTTCTGCTGAACTCGCTAGAGCCTCTTCCGAAGATTGCGCAAGCCTTGTCATTGCGAGGACTGGGGTATTTGCGGCGTTCCAAAATATATAAGTGGTGCGGTATCTAGCCAGACCAGCTCATCTTAACTCTCTTTTGGACCAGTTACAAGTTACAAGTCACTCACACAAGTCTCAATTTGGATTTGCTGCCATGCAAACCTTGTGATAGTTTTTGTCTTTGTCAATGAGTGGCTGTCAAACACACTAAGACCAGGAGAGATTCTGTCCACCTTCCTCAAGGTCGACAATGGCGCCTATGGTCATTTGGTGATCATGTTGCAGAAGATTGTGGACTTTGGTCAGGCTTCCCTCAAGGCAGAAGACAAAGCGCTGAGTCTTGCATCATCTTTGTCCTGTGAATTGCAGGAGCGCTTGAAGAAGGCAGCTAACCTTGGTGGATCCCTTCCGTCTTGGATCGAGGCAGTGAAGTCAGCAGCCACACGGTTTCAGGGCAAGATTCAGGACTGCGGCATCGCCAAGCTCAAGGGACTACTTGCCGCAGAGAATGGGGTCTCTGCTGCCAGGGAATTCCTCTCAACGTTGACTTTTGGGCCGGGTGACAACCTCTACGCAGCCGCAGAGGTGTTGAAGCAACACGAGCTCATGCAGAAGTCAGTGACCAACCCTCCTGGTGACATGCCGTCATTTGTCAAGCAGGTGAGTGGCGTGATGACCATTGCCTGCCTTGATCTTCCCATGTTGGGAAGCCTTCTCCCAGATGAGCTTCTTTCTGTCCAGAACTACCTCGACCATGTCAGTGACGTTTTGGGCACGGAAGTTGAAACAGTCCAGACCTCTCTCACGGACTTGGAGACCTTGATTAAGAAGTACAGGTGCAAAGGGGCAAAAAGTTGACGGACAAAGACGAAAAGGGACAGAATGTCACAAACACAGTTTGCAGAGTGAATGGATTGGATTGGATGAGAATGAACTGAACAGACTAGATTTGTGATGAGATCATGAGATCAGTGAGACAGTGAGCCAGGGAGCTCATTAAAGCGTTTTGAGTTTCAGGTACCGAGTTTATAAATTTGATCTGTTCATAAACTTATTTGTTTTTGTCTTTTGTACTTGTGTTTGGAGGCCGGTCTTGGAGGCTGTGGAGTTTTGGCAGCCTGACAAGATGGACTCTGTGGCATGGATGTTTGAGGGCAGCACGAACGTCAACAAAGACACCGAGGAAATCATCAAGCAGAGAGAGAACTTGGTGTCTAGCATCACACCTTTGCAAATGGTCTACCAGGGTAAGCATGTCGTCAAGCATTTTGAGAGGCTTGCCAAGCTCATGACCACCACTCCAGGAGTGGTGAGAAAGCTTCAGGACATGTGGAAACTCACAAAACAGAGTAGAGTTTAGATTTTTATATAATATAATATAATAATATAATATAGATTAGTCGAAAGCAAACAGCAGATAGCAACCTGTCAATCTGAAGGCCCTCACTTTTGGGCAGTGTTCGTGTTACAGTTCCAACGCGGTTTTGCTGGTGCCTTTCGTTGACGCCATAAGTGGGTAGATAGAGGCTATGCGGTGGTACAGTAGGTCAGTAGGACTAGGACTCCTTATTGTGAATGAATGAACAATGACAATGATCAATGATGATGACAATGACCAATGACGATGATCAATGACAATGACAATGATGATGGTGATGAGTGATGATGATGATAACTGATAATGATTGATGATGATGATATTATGAAAGTTATTATTTCTATTATGACATGTGATATGGACGGTGACAGGCACGGTCCGACAGTGGTTCATATGACATGACATATCATATGTATCTCTGTATGACTGTGTGACTTCATGCTAGTATATAAAAATATACTATATTATATATGTTATATGACTGTTCTTTGCGCTTTCACTTGCCTTCGCACACATGAAGGAAGCGACCGATGCGGCGGGAAAGATCATTGCCACTATGATGATCGTTGACATCGTGCTCAATGAGACGAAATACCCAAAAGTGAATGAGTCCTACCGAAAAGTCTGCAGGTTCATGGCCAAAAAGTTTGGATTGAGCCCTCCAGACATGGCCCCGATGCTCAAGACAAAGGTGGATGCGCTTGTTTCCAAAGCAGCGACTCTTATTCTCACGTTTGTGTGTTTTTGGGCACGCACTTTTTTGTTCCTATCCCTCTCCCAATTTCCTTTTCAAACAGGTTTGGTTCCAATATTGCGGAGTAGCATTAGTAGAGTCAGATATCCTTTACTATACCCAATCCCTTTTCAACAACCGTGTTCTCATCTTTGTGTGAGGGTGATTACTTGTGGCGTGACACAGCTTAGCCAGTCAGGAAATCTGACAAGACAAAAGCTGACTCCACGAAGCCTGAGGGGTCTAAATCCCAGAAGAGGAAGGCTGAAGGTGAGGCAAAAGAGCCTGCCAAGAAAGTCCAAAAGAACAAATCCGCCAAGAAGTAGGTGGCGGTTTTTTGACATTTGGGGAGCTTCATGAGCAAGAGGTGTAACAGCACTTGGAGCTAGTCTGTTTCTAGTTGCAATTCTAAGTTGAACTTGTTAGCCAACTAGTTGTTTAACAGCTGGCAATACTACCACCAATACCATTCAGAACCCAGAGCCTTAGCTTCAGTTTCGCGGACTTCTTGCTCAGTTTGACTGGCTCAGTCAATGGATTCGGAAACCTGTGGACAGAACCTCTTGGGGAAGGGGATGAAAAAGAATACGCGCGTTGCTGCTGTGTACAGGGGTTGTTTTGGTATTGATTTATCGCGGTGTAGTTGTTATAGGATAAATGATGAATGTTTCTGGCCCAAATAGTTGATGGCATTGTGCAAATGTTGTAGATAGTTTCTGCGCTTTAGGAAATAGTTTCCACAACTTGTGGAAAACCTTCTGCAAAGTAGGCTATAGTATTAGCACTTTATCAGACTTTATCACATAGAGACTAGAGTCATTTTAGTAAATAGTTTCTGGCATTTAGTAAATAGCTTCTGGCATTTAGTAAATAGCTTCTGGCATTTAGTAAATAGTTTCTTGCATTTAGTAAATAGTTTCTAGAATTTAGTAAATAGTTTCTGGCCCCCACAGACAAAGAGGCCAAAGCAGCCCCCAATATATATATATATATGTGAATATATATAATCAGTGTTTGCTCCACGATGAACAACAACCATTGTTGTGGCTTTAGTATGCTTTAGTAGGTCGACATTGTTGTGGCTTTAGTATGCTTTAGTAGGTCGACATCACTCCTTTTTAGATGTGTTACGTAAATCCATGTTCTGAGATTCTGGCTGCTGAAACAGCTTCTCACTGCTGACGGCTTCTCCCCAGCTCCTGTCCTCCAGGCACGTCCGCCCTCAGACGTGGAGGTACGGAGTCCGTCCGTCCATGCGGGTTTGGTCGAGGTGAATCCGTTTGGTTTGCAGATCACCCGATTGGGGGTGGGGGTAAGATCATACGTGGGTGATCTATGTTTTGATTCGATCATTGTTTTTTTGTTAAGGGTCGGTCATTGTGCTGCCAATGCAAAGAACATGGTGTGGTTCAATGTGTTTCATATCTTTTGAACCCTGTGTCTCTGGTCGCGGTCTGGGGATTTATCTATCACTTCTGTTTTTTGATGCTACGAACATCCCCCCGGTTCTTACTTTGAAGGGCTCAACGTGTCATCACATAAATTTGTCGTGGGGGAGGTAGCCGCTGCAAGACAATGTGGCCCCATTTTGTTCACTGCAAACCAAATCATGTTGCAGAGCGCATCTTGACTGGCAAAGATGGAATGAACATTTCACCCGTTTTCTTTCTCTTGAGGCTATACATTCCCATCGAATGATTGTTCGCCGGTCACACATGTTTGGCATCAACCACATTCAACCACTATCATCATCATTTGATGGTGAGTTTGCTCGAGAACACGACTGAGGTATGATACACGTCTCAGCATTTTTTCCACCAGAACTGGTCAGGTCGTTGCAGCACCTTTGCCATGGAACGTGTGTAGCGCCTGAAACCAGAACGGTGTGTATCTATCTCCATAAATGAAACCAACACGGCCATGGAGGCGAGTCTTCGGTGGCATCCGGTTCGGTTTCACGGGGGGCCGTGGCGACTCAGGTGGATCCAATGCCCGTGATGTGGCAGGCGAGCTCCTCACTCCGCTGTCTTGGGACGGTGGGTTTCTGTATTTCGATGTGCTATTCTGTTTTGACTCTTTTGGGGCGTATCTATATATATATATATATACGCATAATTTAACCCTCAGAATCCGGACCCTCAAATGGAAAGGTTTTGTGCCACTGATACTCTATGGAGTGTCCGTCCCCTGCTATGGAGAATTCCACGAGGGCCTAATGTATCTTGGGCCTACTTATTGTTCGGAACCAGAGGGGTCTCAACAACAAAATCAACCGTCAAGACTGAGAGGTGCACAACCTGGACCTAGGCTCTTGAGGGTCAACTTGCCAAGTCAAGTTGTTCACCAGTTTGACAGGTTGGGTCAGGTTGAACACTTATTCCACAGTGCCAAAGATGGGGGCCAGCATAACCATGGAGTATCAAGATACCAAGGCTCCCCACACATGAGCTTTGTAGCTCCTGTTTTGATGCCATCGAGAGGTGATGCCCCTTCAGTTTGAGCCTGAAGGAATTGAAGCCATCATCCTCTTATTGTGGCACTCGATGAAGAGAAATTGTGGTTTCGTCAGATGGATGAGTTCCAAATGGTTTCTGGATGTTTCTGGATTTGGACTGGAGGTCACTTCAACCATTCTTGCCTGCCACCCCTTGTTTGTTTGACCTCAATGCTTTTGGGGGAAGGGTACAGCACACCTCAAGTTAATTCACATCACATGACATGTGGATCGAAATGGATTTGCTTTGCATTATTCTTTTATGTGGTCATGTGGTACCCAAGCTGATCTCACTCCACCTGAGGAGTGGGTTTCGCTCCACCCAAGCTAAACACACAGCTGCTTCTGTAGTTTCTGCTACCCGGCCAATCTGGGACTCACCTCTCACTTGTTTCCCTTTTTGGCACTGGCAAAGAACACGCTAGCTACCATGTCCCAGACACTCCATGTATGCCATATATGCCCACATTGGATCACATTGGGGTGGTTTTGGGGGTCAATGTACGCATACATATTGCAGTCCCATGGAGTGTCTGGGTGTTTGCCATGTAGGGTACACAAACTCTCTCTCTCTCTCTCTCTGGATACCGTCCTCGTTGCCTGTGCAGGCTCCTGTGCCCCCGAGCCCAAAAGCCCCAACCACGGAGAACCACGAGACGGTCGCCGCACATGAGGCCTGGGATCTTGGGACCTTTGGCTGAGAAGGTCATAAATCATCATCGAGTCATGGATTCTTCTCATAATTTCTCATTCTTGGCTTTCTTAGGTGTTCTTTCCCATGTGGGTTAGT